TGGTTTTTCTTAAAGCTTTCATGGCTTCATGAGTATGACTATCGTCGCAAATTTATTACATTCCACTCCCCACATTATCTTTGCATGAGGTTGTAGGTATTGGTCATTATCAACGTAATTGTTGAAAGAGAGTAGGCTACAACAGCCCGAAAGTTTATTACTACCGTGTATTTTGTTTTTTAAGTTTGGCCCAAGCCTCATTTAATTGGGCTTGTGTTTTTGTGTGCGTGCTGGTGGGCAGGCACATGAGATACTTCATGTTTTAAACTTTTTTGTAGGTTTTGCTTGCCCTCCAGAATTCTCCATTTTAAATTTAGGTTTGTTATGGAGTTTTCGAAATAAACTATCTATCTATCTAATATACCCAGGTGCCATTGACTGAGTAAATGCAATTTAGTTGCTATGACGGAACGGGATTACTCTGAATTGCATTTTTATGGAAATTTGGGCAAAAAAATCGCGCATTCTCTCAGCAAAAACAAAAGAAAGAAGATTCATATCTCAGCCAAACAATACCGATGTAATAAGGTTTCATATTGAATTAAGTGCTTTCATTTATTTATATGCAAGTGTGAGAATATATTTACATTGGCAATTTAAAAATTAGACACATTTGAAATAAACAAAAAGTCCTTCGAGCCGGATTCGAACCAGCGACCTATGGATTACTGAGTAATCAACCTCTACAGTCCACCGCTCTACCAACTGAGCTATCGAAGGAACCGAAGGCGACCTCTCCGAGTCTCTAATTTATACCTGTGAAGGATTCTCTCGAATTAGTCGATCACAAAGCGAGACGTGCATTCATAATATTGATTCGGTTTGTATAGAAGTTGATTCAATTCAAATTTACACATGGAACGGCGATTTCGGTATTTACTACCATAAAAGGCATATACTTTTATATAGTTTCAGTATCTCTTCCAATTTAGGAAAACGTCCGTAATGTTGTTGAGAAAAATATGGATCTTTTGTACAAAGCCCCCGCCACGTTTTTGAAAAACAAAGTAGTAAATATTCTGTGAGGCTTCAGGTTGGCAATTATTTGTAAATTAGAATTTACCAGCGCAAAATGCATTCTTAACCTTGACTGGATAATTGCTTTTTCTTTTATTTTGAGCGGTGGTCTGGGCTTTTGCAAAATATTCAAAAATCTTCCTTGATTTTAAGTTATAGCGTATGACTTACATGCGAAAAAAAATATTCTAAAAAAGAATCCCAGAAAACATGCATTATTTTAAGATCACGAGCCTCACTAAACGAGGAGTTAGCACTAATGGGAGAGATACTAGCTAACATACACAAATTCATTTCCATCTTTTGAAGCCAATTTGAGTATTCACGTAATTGCAAGTGGCTGGTATTTCCCAGTTATTCTTAGTCACAGCTGCCAGGTCGTCCGTTGATGCCAGGAAACTTGTCGAATGGAATTTTTTGGTGAATATCACTATTACGTACTTTGAAGCTCACCAAAGCGGAGTCGCCTTTCACTCCGATTTCATGCAATCCCAGAAGCTCTCGGCACGTTAGTAGTCGGCTTTAATTCCACACGAAAAGCAATCTCCTTTATCCTCGCATTGAATACAACTAATAAACTAATGATAGAATGGCCAGCGTGGTACGGATTGAAAATTCCAGGTTAGGTTTAGGCCGTAATTCCATCGCGATTTTCCTTATTTTAGTTCAATTACGAGTTCAGGGACTGTCTGTATTGGCCAAGTGAATACGCCCCCTGCCCATAGGTTTCAGTCCCTTTATTCAACTTGATGTAAAGTAGGTGAATAAAATTAGTTACCGCCATATTGGTACACATACTTCTGGAGCGCCGAAAATTTATATCGAGTTCGAGTGTTATCACAGTCATCTATACGGAGTGCATAATACAAAACAATTTGGCACGGGGAATTTTGCTTTGTTTTTGGAAGAACAGGAATATTTCCAACTTTAAAATATAGCCTATGAAATTCATTATATTCAGGGTGGTGAGGTAATTCGGTCGTTCTGGCAGGAAGTCCGTTATGCTACGTCAAAACGTCACGCGGATTAGAGCATATTATGAGTAAATAACAACGTAACAAAAAGTCCATTGGTAATTTAGTTGCAAGCAGTGCTGTAAATTTAAAACTTCCTTGTCAACTTTATCGTTATAAACTTGAATTCATATCGTGATGCCGACTAATAATAAACATTCAAATACGAACACAGCGATTTCAAGACAGAAGGAAAAATGTTTGGAAATATTTCATTTCAAAAACTTCATTCAAAAATGACATTTTTTTTAAGTTAGTTTCATAACCAAAGCATTAACCGATCTTCACCAGAGTATTTCTATAAGAATTCAGATGAGTTTAAAAATTTAAAATATAAAATACTATATATTATATTAGCTACTTCTCAAAACCCAAGTTGCGTCCTTGGCCCTCGATTATAGCACTCGAATTTCTAGATTTAGTGACGTTTATGTATTCTGGGTTTTACCCACTTAGTGCTTCTCATAGCTTTTGACGCGGAATTTCAAATTTTTATCTGAGTATGTTAAAACCCAGCAGTTTGTTGCACAAAATTTATATAGACACGCATTGGTCACAAACAAAATTTAATGTACATTTAAAAGCAGATTAATTTTTTTTCCAAAACATGCATATGATATAATTATAATTAATCAAAATACAAAAATGAACAGTTTTTTGAAAAAATAAAAAAGTGCAAAAATTTACAGAAATTTCAAGCCTGCATTGATAGGAGCATGACGGTGGTTTCAGAGTAAAACCTCGGCATGAATGTTCTGAGTGGGATTAGAACATGCCGATAATATGGGGAAAAGGACCGAAAACCTTTTTGGGGCCGAAAGTTAACTGAGATATTATACTAATGAGTGAGACCATATTTTGTAATGTATATATATTCAAAATTTACACTTGAACTAATGGAGTTTGGTATTGAATACAAATAACTGACACAATTTTAGGATCACACAGACCAAATTCATGCATTGTCATTAAATGATAAGGAAATCGTGTAGTTATGCTTTGAAAATTTACATAAATTTGTCTGTATAATTTAAATTTTTTTATTGGTTTAGATATTTAAACGCACGCCAGTGACAAGCAAAAGTTTGATGTAAATATTAAAATTTACACTAGATTTAAGATGTAACGAAGATAAAAAGAGTTTTCTTAATATGCATAATAGGATAAAAATACAAAAAAATAACACAGTTTCAGAATCACGCCTCACAATTCCATTAAAAGGCGTTCTGATTTATTTCGATTCAAAAAACGTTCAAAGTTTTAAGTTACGTCCAGCTGTAAGGCTTAGACGAAATTTTAAAATGCTTGTTTCGTGCAAAGTAAGGGAACCAGCCGGTAGTCTGGTAGGGGTTAAAAAATTTTGGGCAAAAAGTCACACGAACAAACAAGAGTTTAAAGCAGTGGCTCAATTTTTTAAGACCCGTACCCTTTTTAGAATTTGTCAAGTCTCGCGTCCCACCTCAGAAATTACTGGCTAACAATAAGCTACAAATAACAGTTAGTAAGGCGAAAGTATTCTAAAACATGTTGAAAATACGTGGATTGAACGTAAATATTGAAATGTAAATACCCAAAACAAGGCGAGCAAGATCAAATATGACGAATTTATTTTTTATTTTTTTAGATAGCTTCACGCCTCTCAAAAAATTGTGTATACACCCTGTGGGGCGCACCCACCCTTTGAAAACCCTTTTTCTTAAAATATATGTATAAATTTAGACACGTATCGCAGATTTAAGGAGTTCAAACCACGCATAATGGAATATAAATACAAAAAATGAGTAATACAGTTTTAGAATCACGTGACATAATTGTAAGCGTAGTCATTTGAATAAGAAACGTCATGCTAACGTTATGCTGAAAAATTGACTGAAATTTTAAGCCGATAATGTTCGATTCAAAATATATATTATTATTTACCAACTTTGAAATCTTTCATCAGTTTTGGTCTGCTGCGTTTCGTGGGATTACCTACTTATCTAATTTTAATCTTTCTGAATTGAAAACATTACTAGTCATTCTACGTCTCATTATTGTATTTTTCAGTATTACCGCCATACATTGGTAAGACATGACCAAATTCCTGCAATTTAAAATAAAAGAAAAAATATGTATGGAAGTTGAAAAATAAAAACAGAATATTTGTGATATTTTACAGCAATACCTAAAATGTATTCGACTGGGAATGAAAGCTATATAAATTAATACTAAGCTGGGTGCTCCCGAAGTATGTGTACCAAGATGGCGCACAGCCTGAACATAGTATGTGTACAAGGTTAAGGTTCAGGTTCGTCACATTGGTGCACATAATTCGGGAACGCCCTAAGCTGTGCATCTGGCATTGTTGCGCAACAATCATTTGGCCGTAAATGGGAAAATTTGACAGGAATGTTTTGGAGAAAATGAGGAAACATATTATTTTAACATTGTAACATCAACTTTTTTCTGAACAGGCTTCGATTAGAAAACTAGGTCAAAACAGCTCATTCTTTGTTATTTTTTAATTATAATTCTCACAAAATCTTAGCATTCGCGCTTATGTATTGAAACCGTCTACTTTTATTATTGAATACAACAATACTGCTCATACTTTGTGCAACAGCTACTCATTAAATATATAAAAGTGAAGAAAAAGAATGAAAAGCAGGTACAGTCATATCATGATTCGTGTGAAATATCTCATGACAATATAGGTATGAAAACTATGGTTGTCAAAAACAAATCAAAATCCGGAAAAACGGAAGATTAGATAGTCCCGAATTCAAAGTCGTAGAGCTGATAAAAATATTGGAACATTGTTAGTGTGTAGCAACACTCTTGAATCACTCAGGATAGTTATCTTTAGTATTATATGCATAAAAATCCACCAGTACAAGAACGAAGAAGAAGGATAAGTCATTAGTCCCGTAGAAATCCAATCAATGGCACTAATATCGATTCGAGAATCCAAAGATATCCTTGTTTGTTCTTCTAATGCGGTTTATACGCACAGATAACACCATGAGCTTTGAACCCCGGTTCCCGGTTTTGCATGTAAGATCGGATAAGATTGTAGTTTCTCTGGTTAATTTGAAATAATACATTCGTGTAGGCCGCACCAGTGAACGGCGGCGTAGTTTTCGTTTTATTTTGCCACGAAATGAAAGCGTCATTGGGTGTGCGAGTTCCAGTCTGAAATAGAATATTTGGTAGAAATTAAAAGAAGTCAAACATTTTGCGATTAAAATTTTTCGCGGCCCTATCCAAACGGCACCCATGGCACCGAGCCATGCCTGCCACTGATTGCATAGTATAGTCATGTTCATTCCTGCTACAGCACTCTCTCATTGCACGCATACTGCTGTATTGGCACAAACGCATAGAGAAAGCATATGATTTAGTCTCGAGTCATGTACGGGTACCGTTGCTCTTTTATGTTTCTCTCACAGATATATTTTACTGTGAAATTTTGAATTTCTTCGAGTCGGGGGGTTTAATACAACTGCCAGTTATCTTGTAAACGGCAAAACAACAATTTGAAAAATACGAAGGGCTATAGGGCGTGGCAATATATAGTACAGGGTGGTCCAAGGTTGTCAGCTCCGCGGGCCACAAAATTATTTTTGCATTGATCGCGGGCCACAATGGTGCCAAGAATAGGTGGACAGTGCAATACAAAACGAACACTTTTATTGTGCATACACATAGATATCAGGCATAGCCATTCTAGGCTAATAGAATGCGCATTCGTTTTCTATGGTGCCTATATTGTTAGCATATATTCCCTACCAAAAAGTTAGAAAGCCAGATAACAATTTAGACTGCCAAGCACATTATTCAACTTCGCAAGTTGACATTAGTGATGACAATATGTCAAAAGATTTTTCTGATTAATTTTATTACGAAACAACACGAAATGCGATTTTTTGATTACTCTCCAAATGTGACGCGGGCCACAGATAATGAAGCGACGGACCACATGTGGCCCGCGGGCCTGAGTTTGAACCAACCTGATATAGTACAATTTGATTGGGATATAATGGTGTGGTCGACGCGCAACTAACCTCTGGGAATTTTTCAGTCTGCTAGTGACAATATTCAACAAGAAGTATATATGGTCATGACAGTGAGGCCGAATTTGTTTAAGATGAACGTGACGTGGCGTGACAGAAAAATAGTGTTCCTATGCCTCATAACAAAATAGTGTTCACAAGAGATATACTAAATAAGCGAAACTTAGGAGACCAAGTCCCGCAGGATATTAAATCAAATTAATGGCCCTCTGTCAGGGGTTGAGGCAGGAAGGGGTGTGGGTCGGAAATGGGACCCTCCCGATTTTGAAATGTCAAAATTTTTTTTTCTGTATACCGTATTTGCTCGTTTTATAGCCCGGGCCCATATTTTTTTAAACAAGCTCACCAACCGGGCCCTTATTCAAACCGGCCCTTATCTAAGCAGGGGCGCTTGTTATTTTTAAAGTAAAATTATACACAAAAATTACGGTATCTTTGAAGACAAATATTTGACGACATTGATCCCTTTTCATGTCAATTTATTCACGTCAAACGCAAATTATTCACGTCTCAAGAGTAATTCTCTAAATTTTTCTACACACCGCAGGTAATAATCCGCAAAAGAAGAAAAGTTTTGCGACGCCCTATCAATATTGAAACGACGCACTCGGGCGCCGCGACGCCCAGTTTGAGAACCACGGTGTTACGTAATCAATGCTATCTGTTATGTAATTGGACGCCTAAGGTGTGAGTGTTATCTAGTAGTGCTTAAATTTCAACAGCGTTGTGACAAAAGCGCTTCTTATTTCCTATTGTTCTCTACCACTGAAAAATCAGCTTTTACATCGGGCGGGTATTCAAGCACCGGCCCTTATTTATTTTTATGTCCTGTTCACACGGGCGGCTATTCAAACGGACCCTTAATCAAGATCAAGCGTTAAAACGAGCATATACGGTATATCATACATAACAATTTTCTTAGCTTGAAACGCTTTGAAAACTTTTTAGACCCTCAAGACTGCGTGAAAACTCACGTTAACTTTCTATAACAGGGATCACCAAAGTTTTTTGACGGCGGGTCAGGTATGACTCAAACTGTGTTGAAAACGAGCCGGACAAATATATTTTTTAATGCATTACAAAAAAATCAATCAAAACAATAAGTTGCGTACAGGTACAGAATTTTAGCCTGTTTTATCACAGCTATTTCTAGACTAATTTTTGTTTACCGCAATTAATCTACAACTCTTAAAGGCGGCAAAATGATGACTTATTTGATTCAAACCTGAATTTACGGAACACAACCAAAAACTAACAAATAGCATTCAAAATCGCGAAAACGAGGTATTGTTTACAACCACGACTGAAAATCGGAGTGACAAAAGTGTCTGAGCGGATGCGTTAAGGCCTATAGTTACGGCAATTTTTGCATCTTGCTGATTGTCAAATGTTACAAAATAAGCCAAGAAATCGATGCTCGGGGAAACATCCCTTGGAAAAAATTACGTCATCTTTTCGTGTTATTGCGGACCAAATAGAGGGACGCCAAGGGCGTAGTTTGGTGCCCCCCCCCCCCAAAAAAAAAAAACTGCTCCCCCCCGGTAGCAGATACAATCTAACTTAGCAATTGGAAATTTGAAAATACTTGACTGCCTGTGACTTTTCACACCTTTTAAACACTGAAAATGGGACTCTATTGGCTCTTTTTTTTTACCTGCGGTAACAATCAAACTACAACAATAATTTTGCATAACAATTCACAGGTGTACTTTCTGTTCAATGAGTTTAACTGATTCAAGGAACTACTTACTCGGGGATTAACTTTGATTCCTGTCCAGAAGCTCATCTGTCTCGTCAAAATTTTACTTTGAAGATACTCGATCATTTCCTTATACGAGTTTTCGTCAGGTACGTTAGCGGGTTGGGAGTTTTGAGCTTTACAGATAGCTTCAGCGGTGGTGAAATTGAGAGTTCCTCTGTTGTGTTGCTGACGCATCTGTGGCTGCGCCCAGTAGCAATTATGTCCAATCTTCAACTCACAAACTGAAATAAGAATTTGCGTGTACTTTTCTTTTTTAGATGATGATGTGTACTTTGTAGGGCGCTCCAGCAGTGTGAGTACCCATATGAGGGTAACTAATTTTGTTCGCCTACTTTACATCAAGTTGTGTAAAGGGACTGAAGCCTATGGGCAGGGGGTATATACACTTGGCTAACACAGACAGGCCCCGAACTTGTAATGAAACTAAAAAAGAAAAATCGGAATAAAATTATGGCCTAACCCTAACCTGGTACGCAGACTACGGGAGTTCCCAATTTAGTAGGTTTATATGACATTTTTACTCAGAACAAGGCTCTGAATAATAGGGTCATATTTAATTTTTAGAAGAAATTTTCATGCCAGAATTACTCTAAATCAGGCTTTGTGTAGGCATCTTCGGTTTTAGGAAGAACCGTAATTTTTGTGGTGCCATATTACCTACCCACTTTATTACCCCATCAGAGGGTTGGTGAGGCTATAACCCGGAATCTTTAACATGTGATGCCTGTATAGTTAAGTTGAACGCTTAAACCAGGAGTGTGCGACTTTTGATACAGAAACCACTAAGTCATGGAGTTGAGGTAAAGTTTGATCCCAAATATAAAATTTCAGCTTTTTCAAGTGTTGTTCGAAAAAAGCGTGGGTCTGAGGAGCAATTCTCAGTAGCTACCAAGTTTGTATTAGGATAGGATTCACATATTTATCCCGTCAACGAAGACAGCCGGGATGGTTTTAAATGTAGGACTATGTGGTAAAATCGGAAACTGTAAAGTTGCAGGAGGCGTCCCGCTTTGAAGTCAAAAAAAATATGGTAACCCTACTTAATCATAATGCGAACCATTATGCCACTGCACTGTTATTTCCTTTAGCTGTCGCACATTTGAAGAATGATATTTGCATTGATTTATTTTTATGAAAATCCATTCAAAACAGCTGAAGAATAGCGTTATTTTTTGCGTTTCAAAGTGATTTATTAGGTTTATGTAAATGCGTGTCATGTTAATATAGCTCACGCAGTGACAAAATACATTTTCTGAAAGTGAAAACCTGTTGTCAATAATTTAGATACAAAAGCGAACCCGTTCCTAAAATTTTATTCTCATCATAGAACACATACAACAACTCACATATAAAACGCACATACAACACATACATTCACACACGCATACATACATGTTATTAGACGTATGTAAAAGGTGTCATGTTGATACAGCTTACGTAGTTACATACATTAATTTTCTGATATTAGCGAACCCGTTGTTAATGAGTTTGGCAATGAGAGAAGCGTTCTTAAATGTTCGAATTCAAACATTAGTCATAACATTTATAAAAGCATTCAAAATTGAGATAGCGGGGAAGTAGAAGCGTTTTTTATGACGTAAGAATTAAACTTACGTGGGTTTTTAGTGCTTGTTTCCATAGATACTGTAGTTGACACGTCAGACGTGATGACGTCACTGGTAGTCAAAGTAGGGGAATCTGGAATCAAAATAATGCTGTTAGGTACTTAGTCTGGGAAAGGTAGTGGGAATGCGGGTAGTGAGTATGTCGGTATGGGTATGGGGTTTAAAAACCTAAATATTTGTTGAAAAAAAATCATCTTCATCCTTACAAATGAAATAAATCATCGGAATCTTAGGCTGGCCTAAGTCTTCTTTAGAGCGAAATTGCGAGAGAATTCATCAAAACACACTTAGGAATATCATCTGAGAACTTAGTGCTCCAAAAATCTTGTATCGCATTTTCGCGAGATCATTTTTGAGCTTTTGAATCAGATAATGGGGCGATTCTTTGATTTTTTTTAAATGCAATTGCAGAGCATTTCCGATTTTAACAATAACATGTCGGATTTTCAGAACTTTTTTGAATCTTATTGTAAATTTTTTTGAATTTCTGAATATTATTGCAGAATGGGATTTTCATGCTATAAAATGTTTAGTAATATTTTCGGATATTCGGATGCAGTAGTATTACTTTTATGATTTCCGAATCAAATCAGACTTTCCGAATTTGCGAATCGAATTCTAGAACTAATAATAGTCGAGCGTTTTAAAATTAATTATGGATCTTAAATTTTTTGAATCTGTAAAACTTTTTTGATTTTTCCGATTTAGTTGAATGTTTTGCGCTAGTTTTTGGTTTCCGCGGGACTAACTACTTATCTATATTCTATGCGTGTAATGCAAGGATGCTGTACCAGGATTAAAGATAACTATTCAAGAGTCTTGCTGCACACTAACAAATAATATTACTGTAATATAGTATGGATTATGTTTGTCTGGGGAAATCTGGCGAAACGTTACAGAAATAGATTTATGTTGGTGTGCAGACAAGGCTCTTCGATCACTTTGATTGGTTGTTGAATTTTTGAATCAAATTCTGAACTTATTACCTGTTGTTTGCATAGACTCAAAAAGATCAGGTGCAGTCGAAGTTCCGGATCTTGTGGTGAACTCAGTTGTTATTAGGCTTGGGGTGGACTCGAGGACAGTCTGGGTGGAATGGGTAGAAGTAACTTGTTTGCTGGTGACGTCATCAGTTGTGACGTCATATTTTGAGACTGGTATTGGATTTCCATTTTGGTAAATGTGAGTTGATATAGTCACGTCCTCGCCTATGTTGCCAGCTAGCGCTTTCTCGAGCTTCTCTTGTAATTTCTGTCGAAGTTCTGCAAATTTAATTTTTTTATTTGGGTTATTTCGCGCCGAACAAATTTCTGAGTAAACAGACATTGACGCACAATAGCCCATTGCAGGACTGGGTGATTACTTTTCTGATTGGGCCGGTTACAGGGGCGCTCCGGAAGTATCCGTACCAAGATGACGCACAACCTGAACAACCCTAACCTGGTACAATACTATGTTCAGGTTGTGCGCCATCTTGATACGAATACTTCGGGAGCACCGGTACAGGTAATAGTCATAACTACTGGGCGGAAGGCTCGAATTTTAATATGAAAAATGATGAATAAAAACAGTTTATTTAAAACAGCTAGGCTGACGTTTATGGATTTAAAAGAAGAACAGTGTAACAATCGAGTCATTATGACGTTATTTTCAACGAAAATTTATATCTATAAAAACTATGCAGTCGTAATTCCAGCAGACACAAATGGAAATACTTCCTAAAATATTGAATTCCATCACTGTGTGTATACAAGGATAAATAACACTGCGTGTACATAGATTTGTTGTGAGAACTGAGCAGTGTCGTGAAAGATATAACCACTCATAACGCGTTACACACTTTGACCTAAATGAAAGTTGGCGGTTTCAGAATACATCAGACAACAAATGTTAACACGTGGCTCACCTTCCTTATTGGTTGCCTGCAAAACAAAATGAAAGAGGATTAGTAAGACATGAAAGAGTTAAAAAACTTAACAACCTGTGTAACTCACAGTAATTATATCTTCGTTATCGCATGTTGACGTCATTGTATTTCCTCCAAGCTGAATATTCATTGAAATATCAACTGTAAAATGGAAATAGAATGTTTACTACTGCAAAGTTTATTAATACTGTGTTTTCCCGAAAATAGGCCTGAATTTTAAAAATGCTTTTAATATAAGCCCTCCCATCAATTAAAATAAGACGTGGTAGATACCGCGAAATTTTTTTGATCTAGTCGACAGCATGAAATTTCTTCTACACGTTGTAAATGATTATAATCTAAGTTTAGGAGTTATTTTAAATAAGTATCTGTTATTTATATAAGTAAATGGATATCGTTTTTTCGTATTTTGTATATTTCAAAATCTCGTAATTGTGTACTTTGTAATTTTGTTATTGATAAATGAAAATAAAATATATCCCCTCAAAATAAGCCCTAGTGTTATTTTTCAAGAGAAAATTGAAATAAGGCACTCTCTTATTTTAGGGGAAACACGGTAATAAAACATGCAAAGCTGGAGGAAACGATACGGTTTAGCCCAGGGGGTGTGCAACAAGCGGCCCGCGGGCCACAACTCAGCCCGCCAAGACATTTAGTGTGGCCCCTGTTAACACTTCCATCAAGCATGAAATCTTAATCCGACATTTTATGCTACAACTTCTGTCAAAGCTGATGTTAACAAACTATGCGAGAACTCAAAATGTCAAATATCCCACTGAAATGACAATTCGTTTAAATTTTGAATTGTATGAATTTTTAATTCTTTGTGTGCTACATGGAAATACTAGATTTTTATGTGCTCCCGAAATATGTGTGCCAAGATAGCGCATAACCTGAACATAGCATGTGTACCAGGTTATGGTTCAGGTTGTGCGTCATCTTAGTATGGATACTTCCGAGGCGCCAATTTTTGAGCAAACTTGCAACTCTTCAATCAGTATTTATTTCATTTTCACAAATTTTGTTTTAAAAATTATAAAAAATAAAATTATGATAATAAAGAATCAATACATGTACCCGCAACGGCTATTTACCAGAAGTTAAACTTCCGTCAAGGTTTTTTTTTCAATTTTATGCTTTACCAAATCACCAATAACGAGAAATAATGAAAGAGTCAAAATCAGACCAAGAAACAAAATACAACGTGTTTAACTTTTTTGTCGCAACTCACGCCTCACTTACCAGCTAAGACCTTTCTTCCGACGAAGAGCAGTGCCAGTCCGAGCATCAACGATACAAGCATTCTTAAGTATAACGAAGTCTTTTAAAATATTTATGATCTGAAGTTTTTTTCAGCATCAAAATAAGAAAACAAAGATGGTTTATATCTACAAAAAGGTGCTTTAGGGTGCGATATTAGGGTTATCTTTGAGCGGTAAAAAAAATTGAAGAATGTGTGGCGTCATAATATGAAAAATGACTGTATAATGCAGGGATATGTCGTCATGATAGACCCACAAGGCTTCACGTCGGGCCTCTCCCTCGGCAATTAAATTTATTGCTTGAACATTTGGTGTTGTTAAAAAAAATTATTGCTTTGAAAACGGTGGACGGCGAGATATTTAGATATATTGTACAAAGTTCCTACCAAAAGAACACCTCGCCAACGATCAAATATGATAATGAGTAATTATCCAGTCAGGGTTAGAAAACATATTGCGCTGAAAATTCAAATTTTTAAATCATTCCTAACTTGAACTCTAACCAGTGGGGGGTGTTTTTTCACAAATATCACATTTTTGCATTGGTCGCGGGGGCTTTGTACAAAACATCCGAATATTTTATTGTAAACCGAATATAGTTATGAAAAAGTCGAATACAAATAGAAGTATCTTCTAAAAGCGCGTAGCATATTCTCTCGTCTGGTAAGAGATAAAGCATTATTACTTATCGATCTTTAGATCGATAAGTATGTTGATAGGTGTTTGTCTGTTAGATGCACGCTATATCTCACGAAAGCGAGATTGATTCTGCTCCAAATTTTGTATGTGCATTCATCATATCTCGGACCAGAAGCCTATTGATTTTGGATAAATTATGTCGTATAATTAGCTGTTATTAATTAATTAGTGATGGGACACGCGGTGTCACTATAGAGTCATGAATCGGAACCGCAGTTTCGATCGATAAGTCTTCGGTCTCCGACCGATATTCTCGTTATTCTATTACAAGCAAATACCTATTCAGATTATATCTGTCTTACTGATACATTGTATTCAAATTGACAACTGGTAAGAGGCAAAGAATATATCTCAAAGGTATATAGGTATTGGCTCAATGGTTGCTCCTTTCTGAATCTATTTTTTTATTTTCTGTAAAAGATTATACTTTATCTTCATCGCCTCCGAGCAGAACAAAATATTTCTCCCTCTGGCTAACGACTGCAGTTTGATGAAAATTTGCTCTTCATATATCCGTTGAATAAATCGTTAACAGTTCTCGTATGGAACCCGGACTTCCGAACGAGACTATTGCCAGGGTGAACCAAATACCCCCAGTGGCAAAATTTTCGCCGCTTTCTAAACGTCACTTACGTGAAATTCACAATCTCACTGCTTTTTTCCTGATTGTTTTGACTTTAATTAAAGTTTGCGTTAGGCGCTATTTTCTAGCACGCAATTCTACGCTTTAATTCTTTATAGTCTCAGTCGCTCGTTTATTTCTGAGTGAGTGGCCTTGAGTCCTTGACTTGAGCTAAGTTTCCCTAAAAATGTATCTGGGATAAATTACTGATATTACTATCACCATATTACTATTCATATGATATAGGCCGTCTTGTCGGCGTTCCTTTCCCCGGGACAATTAGGAAAATCGTATCTTATCGTAATGATAACCTTGGAAGCACGCTGACCACGCTTTATTATACATACTGAACGTCTACCCTCTTGTAATTATAAAATACACTGCTCTATTTCCACTGTCAGTTTCATCTCTATGAACGTACAGGACAATACTACAGTGTGGCAACTTCCCGCGGATTGGTTCATAGACAAGACACAAGCGGAAATTTCATCGATTAACGCAACCGCGTTGTAAAAACCTGTCGAATTTAATACCATTTTGGAGTTATTAAATAAGAGCGATGCTCGAATATATATTGCCTTGCGTTCCAAATAAAGCCACATACAAGCCCCCATTGATATTTAACCAGCGGTGGAATTTAAATTTTTTGTCAGCCGGTTCTATCACAAAATTCATATTTTTTAGCCGGTTCTGTTCAGAATATTGACAGTAACCAGTAATGCTAACCGGTTCGCTTATCTCATAAAATTCCGTGAGACGGTTCTATAGAACCGGTGCGAACCGGCTGAATCCCATCACTGTATCTAACGATATACGAGGAGCTGCTGTTACTATATTTGGTAGTCTTGGTACAGAGGCATAACCAGGAATTTTCAGAGGGTTCTGAAATTTCTAAATGCCTAGTCAGACCGTAACCGCTAGTGGGCCGTGAAACGTAGGTTGTCAGGAATCTTGAGGGACTAAAACGCGTTTCAAGCTACGAAAAATTGCTATGTATGATTTTTTTTATGATTTCAAAGGGGGTTTTCGATCCCCCTTTTGTGTATGCCCTTGGCAGGGGTTGTAGCCAGAAATTTTCAAAGGGGGGGGGGGGGGGGGGCGTTCTGAATTTTTTTTTTTGCTAAGTCAGATTGAAACAACTTGCGGATCCGATCAAACGCTGGAATACGCGTGTTTTTAGTAGTCTTGGGGTCTAAAAAGCATTTCAAGCTACAGAAAATTGCTATCTATGACACAGAATTTTTTTTTTTTTTTTACATTACAAAAGGGGGGGGGGGAGGGGGTCGACCCGCAAAACCACCCCCCTGGCTACGCCACTGGCCCTTGGCTCTGAAATATTTCTGGTACACGTGTCCGTTTTCTCTAAACAGCGAACAAAATCATGACGAAACACTTGTTAATTGAGAATATATGATGAAGTGTTTGAACATTCAATTTGAACTAAAAAATATGATGAAGTGTTTGAACATTCAATTTGAACTAAAAAATATGATGAAGTGTTTGAACATTCATTTTGATCTAAAAATATTGTTGCATAATAAATTGACGATCGCGCACCGACCTGCTGATAAGACGACTTAAAGGGCGAACCACAGCCTCTCGCCCGGTTACCATCTCATGTCGGGTATATAATTTAGTTAACCAGCTAATTGTGCTGGTATGACGGCGCTTTTATATGACAAGTCACGGACTGTCGTCTCTGATACACGGACTTGCTGGTAGGAGGAAGCCGTAATCAACCAGCCCTTACGCGGCAAAACAAGCAATCCTCTCGCACATAATTATCCTTCCACGAGATTTTAACCCACGCAGGGTAATCAGAAGTGCCGCCTATTTTTAGCACATAGCACGATGAGCCAACCACCTAGCTCCGTGCTCTTCAACAGGGGTTCCGCGGAACCCTAGGGTTCAGCAATACATGCAGCGGGGTTCCGTGAGTTTATATGTAAAACCTTTAGATTCTGATAAGCAAGTAAAAACTACAAAGCGTTTTGGATGTAGTTGTGAAAACTGTGAATTGCATAAAATGTGGTGGTAAAGGAAAATTCGCCAGAGTTTTTGAAAAACTGTGTAAAGAAATGGATGCTGATAATGTCACTATCTTGTTACAATGTACAATCTTGTTAATTGGGGTTCCATAATAACAAAAAGGTTGAAAAGCACTGCCCTAGCTTCACAAAACCCGCATAATTTGCCGTTCCCATCCAACTTCTGCGACCTTTGACCCCGCTCCCATCTTTGGCTCCCCACCACTGACAAAGCTGTTTGAACAGTACATTTAAATTTTGAATATATATAATTAAAGGCAAACAAAGCCAAGATTGCATAGGATGTAAAAATTATGATACGAAAAATAGAAATAAGTCATTTGTGAGAAGAAAGTCATTTCCTGCCAGAGTATGGGGAAAGCTACGGTAACCAGTTAGGATGGGATTTACTGACATATGTACGATCGGCCAATTTTTTCAAATTTGAATAAAAATCAAGGCATTTCTTCTGCACAAGGCTTTGCAAAAGTTGCCATTTGAGCATATGTCCATGATATATTGACTTTGAACCGCTTCTAGGCTCACATCAATAGGCGTTCATTAGCACGAAATCACATGGTATTACGGTAACTTAAGCGGCACTTGGAATTTCAGTGTGCCTGCAACAGTGCTCAGAGACGAGTCTCCTTTATTTATGAGCAAGTGGGCGTGATGCTTCATCATAGTTCTATCTAATTTCATTAACTTTTGGTCTTTCAGCCCAGATCTTTGCTTAGAGAGGAGTCTCCTTTACTTAGGAGTGAGTCTGTATAATGCACCACAATTTTATACACCGGTAGTTTCAGTAACTCTTGGCATTTCAGCAGTTGCTTATTTTGTTACGGCATAGTTGGAACAATATGAAGGCCAAAATCTTTAATTATTTGCAAATTGCATTTGAAAGTTGAAAATCGAAATGGAAGACATTTTTATACTCGAAAACGTCTCCAGAACATGATAGTTAAGCACAAATAAACATGTAAGGAAAGTGGTTAAAGCATTATATCTAATCAAAAACAATATAGGTGATAAAACTGATTATTAGCAATTTTGCAAAAATGAAGACAAGCTAGGTGAATAATTAAACAGTGCAACCGACCCCCCCTCCATATTTGGGGGCAGATATATATTTGCCCCACAAGATTCCGGTCCTTTTCACTTTTTGATATATATCAATGGCAGCTTGTACTTCTCTAGAACTTAGGGGAGCGAGCAAATCTCCTGAAAAAAATATCATGCGCCTGCGAACCAGCACAGAGAATGAAGCAAAAGAACACAGCCCGAGTTTGAGGTTGCCAACCTTTTTTCAAGCAACCAAAATTTAAAAAAATAAAAGAATTTTGTAAAATCTCGCGACACGAGAATAGCCACGTAGTTGCATAGCTTTACATAAGCAAAATAGATGTTGCCACAAATACAATTACTACTGAGCAACACTACAATACAAACAATAGAATTTACTAGGAAATAAACTGAATAACTTTCAATTCTTTGTTTGAAACAAAGCAACCTACGAGGAAACATCGATCCAGATAAACAGGGGATGGGACAGAAATAAATACAGCAAAGTTTGTTACTGTCGAACCACAACTCCTAGTTCAGATTTAGTCTGGAAATAGCTAACTAGTTACCATTCCAGATACTTGAGGACTTGGATGAAAATACTATGAAGATAGCAGTATCAATAGCAATAACACTGTTACTAACTTCTATAGGATGTCCAATATCGAAAAGAAAAGATGGTAGAAATTAATGAGAACCTCAATCCATATTCTACAAGTTGTTAGTTCAAAAACCATAACCCCACGCAAAATGTGTAAGTTATTCCATATCTTTCAAAAACTTGGATATTGAAGCCGTAAATCAGGGTGTGAAAGATTATTTGTCGTTGGGTCATATAACCAACTTCAGACATCTAGCTGGCCTGGGCCATACAAAAAATTCAGTTTTTCCATATTCACAGGTATTTCTACCCATGTGAGTACCTTCATGAATACAAACTGTCTAATTAGGATTTTAAGTTTGATTGAGGAAAGTCTGAGTTTTGACAAGGGCCACACCAAATGGCTTGCCTGGCCGGGTTGTGGCCCACTGCCCGCCTGTTGCATACCCCTGCAGTAAATAATAGGTATTTATAATCAGCATTATTGGATTAAATAAAATGACTCATAAATCAATTAACCGTTAATGAGACTTAGCTCAATGATAGACTCTACTTGGCTCACAACTTGGGATACCATTTCTGTGTGGCCTTCCACCTATCTCTATGAAAAAAGCTTCCATAATTTGTTCGTTCCGCACCTTCCCTGCTTAACAAGGATTCCTACAAATTTTGGTACTCCCGAAGTGTGTGAACTGAAATGGCGGACACCGAAACGTAGGATGTGCACCAGGTTAGGCCCTAATTTCAGGTACAAATACCACGGGAGTCACTTGGCTAGTCCTCAAACTCGTAATAGAACTAAAATAAGGAGAATTGGAATAAAAATATGGCCTAACCTGGTACACATATTACATTCCGGTGTCGGCCATCTTGGTTCACATATTACTAGAGTACCCAAATTTTTATCAGGAAAGCACATATATCGTCCCAAATTCAAGCAAACTTTAGTCTGTATTTCGAAATTGTTCACCAGACTGACAAATTATGGAAGTTCTCGATATAGCAGTAGGTGGGATTCACAACTTTGGGTTTCAGGGCTTCTACTTAACATTATGAAATTACGTTCCAAAGCATAGTGCAGGCATAAAACAGAAGGGTACCCAAGGACAAGACAAATCTAATAAACACTATTATAAACTTGTATAGGATGTCTAATATCAATAATAAAACATGAAAGAAATTAGCGAGAACATCAGGGCCGGATTTTACAATGGTATCCCAGGCTTTTCCACACACAGCTAGTACGTTTATAAAAGCGTCATACGCTCTGGGTGCGAATGTAACCACAATATCAGATATGTTCTCCCAAAGGTATGAGCATATGGACAAAAAATTATTTGTCAGAAAAGAAGCAAATTGGGAAACCCCTGTAATGACTATTGACCCTACTGTGATGAGCATAAACAGTGGTTATATCATTATAAATATTCATAGAAAAATTGTAAATATAACTAAACATTGAATAAAAAAAATTACAAATAAAATACATGATTTCATGAATACTTGGTAAATATGATAATAATTTTACACAAAGTGAAGAAAATTCATCAAGAAATAATTCCAAATATTCGATCATTGGATTGGTAATCGGTTTATCATCTATTGGATAGATGCCATGGTCTTCTTGATTTGAATTTTGATTTTTCGGAAGATAATAATTATTTAATAAAAAATATATGAAAAATGCTATAATTATAGAAAAAAGTACCCCCATTAATATGAAGAAATATCTATCAATAAAAGCAGCGACTCTGTTCAAGTTAATTCCATTTGGAACTTGCCTTGCAAGCTCTGGATTACCCTGCGGTTGTGGGTTAGTTGCCGAGTTTGCTGCCTCAGTCGGCTTTTGTGCTGGCACTCTTCTTCTTGTTGGATCACTTTCATAAGACTGTGTAAAAGGAAAGTTTTGATTAGATTTATAGTTATCATGGGGAGAGGAAAATTGATCCGCATCCATATTACAGGCTAGGACAGGGGTGGGCAACATATGGCCCGCGGGCCGGGTCCGACCCGGAACGAGATTTCGACCGGCCCGCTGACTGTATCCAACCACACTCTGTAATGTGGTCCGACGCATTATTCCTGAAAGTTGCTGATCGCTCTCCTCTCACCGCACTGTCAGTGCGAGTTGGTGAAATAAACAATTGCCTTAGTGAACAAGTAATAGCGTTGGCACACTTGTTAAATAAACAATATAAGGTCAAAGTAGAGAGCGTTGTAAACATTCCCCACTACTGTTATCAGTTATATTTAAATTCTAAATATAAATAGATTTTAGAAATTACATTTCGTATTAATATTAGGTTTTATTACCCATAAAATATTCCAAGAAACGTAAAGTTGTCAGAGAGTGTCGAGCATTTAACAAAGATTGGATACCGAAGTATTTTTTGTAATAATCCGGCCCACCGAGGACTTCATTTTCCCACATCTGGCCCGCCGACTAGAGAAGTTGTCCACCCCTGGGCTAGGACCTTAATTTAGATTACCTGTCAGCTGCTGTTACTATATATAGCTATTATCGCGTGAAGCCATAAAGGAGTACTTGCTTTTTAATCCGCATCAGACCTACTGCGGTTATAAACTCCAGCTTGAGCTTGCCATTGACGAGTCCCATTCTTTTTTTGCTTATTCATAGTATTAAACAATTTTTTGGTATGGTTCATGAACACACAGTTCACATATTTTGGCCATTTGACCATTTCCCTCTAAATAATCAGGCTACAGGTGTCGCTGACCCAAAGACTTGTCACGGTCCTTCGTGACCTCTTATCGATTGCAATGAATCTTTGACGTTATTTGTTATGCGTATATTTTAAAGGTTTCATTACATTTGAACCCACGTACATTTGAACCCATGACAATTGCACCTGCATACTATTGCACCTATGGAAATTTTTTTGTTGTACGGATAGTTGAACCCATACTAACCCTAACCCATGGGTTTCAGCACCCGCATATTGATTGAACCCGCGGATATAGACATGGGTCAAATGTACGTGGGTTCAAATGTACGGTCACCATTTTAAATGCTGTTATACACTCTTGTCACTTTTTCAAGCATTGATTTATGCATGATAGAATTAAAATATTTGAATCCAAGCCCAGCAAATATAACAAATTCAAATTTGTCAAGTACGTCTCATAGCCTTGTTTATTGCTGACCTCCCATGATATATACATAGTATCTCACCTGTGTCAATGATATCGCTTTAGCAAGTTCTCTGTTTACAATCTCATCAATACATTTCTTGCAATAACTTCTCGGGTCATCTTTCTGTCCGTGACAAATCTGAAGAGTTGAATGATATTAAAATGGCGCTTATTCACACTTTGGAGTGCGTTATCTCATTCAGCGTTGTGCTAAAGCAAGAGTTCCCAACCTGGGGTTCGCGAATCCCCAGGGGTTCACACTAAGATTTCCAGGGGTACTTGGAAAGCAGTCGAGTTTTTGTGTGTTGCTGTTTTTCATATCTTTTATTACTATCAGCGAAAAATGCGTGCCAATCGAAACATACATTTTCACTCATCTTGCGTTGTTGTGATTGTGACGCAACAATGTGAAATTCAGGGCTTTGCAGACAAACTGAAATCTCTAAGACAGCGTGCTTATTCTTATTGAAACTTGGGGAATATTTTAAGAATTCATCAGCTATTGTTAGTCAATATTTCGCAACTTTGTTCGATGCCTGATTACGGGAGTTCCTGTTGATTGTTTCGTGACTCGGGGGGTACTTGAAAGAAAAAAGGTTGAGAACCCCTGTGCTAGAGTGTTCGAACACAGAGTTGGTCGAGTACCGCATCATTTTTGACTAGAATTGATTGAGTTGACTATCACTGTATGTGCATGAGGATTGCTGGACTCATCATAGGGTGGTTGTTCAGATATGACTTTCTCCGCCATCAAGTCCATGCATATGAAATAAATAATACCATACCTGACCTGACATTGACTGCTAATCGGACAAGAGGTCGTGGTTAGTCATAATATGAACCTGAAAACCTAATTCTAAATAACATTATCACGCTCACACATTTTATCTTATGATGTAGGAGACCTACAAGATCGTCTCACCTCACATTTTCTTTCACATCTTCCTTGTCTTCCCAGGAGTTGAATGAGAATCAAACTGTTTGGAATGTCATCAATGGCTTTGTAGTGGACCGTTCGACATGTTGGACAAACCAGACTGGGAAAAATAAATTACAAAATTATTATATTATAATTTGCTATTCTGAGTCATTGTTATTCAAGAAATTATTTTTGCAAAGACCAGTATCTGCGATTATTGTCCAAAACCAAGCACTTTAACATGTGTCATCGAAAGTGCCCAACTAGGTCGTGTTCATAGTAGAAAGCATTTCAGACCACTGTAGGGTGGTTCACTATCTTGCAAATAAATATCAAGCGACAAGTGGTTACATGAACCACCATAGGACAGCGAGATGCCCAGCAATCCGAATTAAATTTGAATGGTAATTAAAGGCACCATGGAAAGAAGGTTCCTAATTCTTAGCACAATGCAACAACAGCCAAAGTAGACTATAAATTACAAATCATTTTATCACCTACCGCCTTCTTTCGGCAATATTTTTTATACAATCCAAGCAAAATACATGTTGGCAAGGGAGCATCTTTGGTGTCCTGGGACCAGATGCCTCGTGAGGATTCATACAGATTGTACATTCCAACAACTCTTCCACTGCTTCCTGTGCTTGGACTAAATTCATTATCAAACTCTTGTGGATAAAAGTTAATTTAACTGGAGAAGAAAAAAATTTTGAAGGCATAAAAGGATGTGACTAGGGGTAAATATATTGAGGGGATCGGTGTATAATGAGAAATTGGGTGTTGAGTAGTTTCGTACCTAAAGTACTTCTAGTGGGTGCACTACAACAATTATTGCATATGTTAATCCTAACCCCCACCTGACTGGGTCATCCAAAAAAAACACTGCAACGTGAGAGTGACGTAATACAGCTCTTCAAACTATACGGACTGTCATCCAAGCCTTGCAGACGATTACCCAAAATTGAGCAATCTATTTCTCTTGTTTTCTCGTCGCAACTATCGCAATATAAGAGAGAGAGATTTAAAATATTAAGAACAGGTTCTGTGGTTTGAAAAAACTTGTTAACTTATCGTTCCATAACAACAACAGAGCAACAAGCATAATCCAATATATAGATCTTGAAACTCTAAATACTGAAATACGAAAATGTCCGATGTCAGCTTTTGTGCAGTTTGACTTTTGGACTAAAGTTTAAGATAAAAAAAAACAAGGAGGATGCGTTCACCAATTAATCGGTGGAACTTTAATGACATAATGTGGCGAGCACTAGGTAATAAGAATAGATTGTGCGAATATGCAAAGGACCAGTGCCACAGGCCAAGGGAGCACTAGCACCTCAATTTATCTTACATGTTTATAATCAATGAACTAATGCTGTAATGATGATTGACACGAAATGCAGCGGTGGGCTGTGATTCTGTGAACATGGTCCGATTAAACGGACCTACTGAATTCGAGGACTGCTTATATCACATTACTCAAATGAATGGGAAGTCTTATCCACTCTACCCTTATTCAAGATATGACGTTATATAACTTTACCGGTCCCCTGTGGAACCGGCAATACAGCAGTCGGCAATAAATGCAGAACTATTTCCGTCTTTCTGTTGTTTTCTCCGATTACATTACTGTCGGTACTCGCAGATTTATGCCAATTAACGCTGGAGTAGGCTATACCTTATTTTAATTCCCAGTAACCCAAGTATTGCTTTTGCGCTAGCTACGGTAACTCAGTTTAATTTAAAAAAGCAGCAACAATGCTAAGAGCAAAATCACGAAAAATTTCGTATGACCTGGCTAATTATTGGCTATGTCGTCTCGGAAGGGATTTCCCCCTTTGTAGTCTCGAAACAGAAAGCACTAGTATAAAATTAGAGAAGGTGAATGGGATAGGATTTACATATTTATCCCAGGGGAGAGGAAAGCCGATAAGACGGCTTATCCATATGGCATACCACGGCCTTGCTGGAACTTGATGGTGAAGAAAGCCGTAACCGACCAGCGGTTACGTGAACCACCCTACGGCGGCGAGGAGTCCAGCAATCCTCTCGCACATACCCATCCCTACATGTATGTATGTTTATTCGTCTCGTAAAAGCAAAAACACAGGAGTTAGTAAATATCAGCATTGAAGACGGGATGTATACACAAGACCATCTTGGCCTAAAACACATGAACGTGCGGCATACACCCCTTATGATAGGCATAGAATGCAATAAATCGAATAAGTATAATATGGTCCTTCATACAGACAGTTGTGCGAGGAGGGTGGATTAGGCAACATGGGTAACGGTGGAGTATGCCCAACTGTTTGTACAAAGGAGTTGGTAAGACGAGACAACAGCAATAAATAGAGACAATACAACATGAAATATAATACATAATATATATACATAAGAATAAAATTTGGACATATAGCACCCTCGAATAATGATACCACATACTATAAATGGGACAAATAGTCAAGTTTATAGGAGAATGTGCATATATGGTATGTACCACTCGAGGGTGAGTGTCTTAAGTAAAAAATGGCTAATCTAGCAAAAATGCGTTCTTTCCAGGCTTGGGAAAATGCAATGTAATAAGTTCTGTCAAGTTATACGCTTTTTTAAGGTACTTTGTATTTTATAGTTCTGAATACCGCTAAAAAAGATCAGGATTCAAAAAAAGGATATTCAGGTTGCATTTCCATAAAACCCATCATGATCGCATTTCAGCCAGACAATTCAAAGGTATAAATGTATATTGAAATAGAGAACAATAAATTATAAAGAATATCATTTTGCCATGTCATGGAATTTCCAAATTGAATTAAAATAATAATAAAATATGGTATCCTGTGATGAAGAAAGGGTTAGGATTGTTCGATTTAGTGCTGATGATAAAATAAAAACAATAATATAATTGAATAACATGATATCCTAGAATAAAGAAAGGATTGAGATTGTTTAATTTGGTGTTGGGCGACAATAATGGAATGAAGTTAAATAAAGCAGCATGCTACTTTAACAGTGGTCATTGTCCCTATTGTTTGCTACATTTAAATTTAAATTTTGTTTCTTTGTCTGATCATTTAAGCATGGTGATGAAATTAGAATGGTGTGCTAGTTATTGAATCAGTCCATTGTTTCATGTTGAATCCGGGTGAAGTATCCTGTGGAGTTATTGAAATTGCCATCTGTTCTATGGCGACTGAAAATTTCGACCGGTTCCTGATAGTTGTCCAATCAAAATCATGTAAGGTTCTCCTTTTCAGTGTTGAATTCACCTTAAAAAATAATCTCAAAGACAGTAATATGTTCAAAGCAGAGAAATTTGCTAATATGACGATAATATATATTGTTTAAGTTTGGAACGAAATTCTGAGTTTGATTTTGACTTTTTGATGTCATTAGGTAGGGAATTCCAAGCTTTTGGCCCACATACTACAATTGATTCTTGTGAAATACTTTAACTGACGAATGGAATAAAAAAATTATCTTTATTTCTGCTGTTTGAATTTGGGTTTGCTCGGAACAAGCTGTTCAGACTGGACGGGAGTTCTCCAATGTAGCAAGAGAACATCATAGTACATAGTTCGAAGTTAGCTAAATCATCTACTCGTAGTAGCCCATACTCTTTGAATAGGTCATTGACTTTTTCTCGATTTCCTCTATGGAAACCTCTTCTAATAAAACGGTTACAAACACTTTGATTTTTTTTAGAATGGAAGATTGGCGATGAACATAAGCTGAGGCACAGTATCGAATATAGCTTTCTATTAGAGAGTGGTATAGGGATATTAAACAGGAAGTGTTCAAATTGTTGGCTATTTTCGTAATGGCACTAAGATTTGTGTGTTGTTTCCACGACAATTTATCATCGATCGTTACACCCAGAAAACGAGTCTGGTTAACCCTTTCTATATTTATTCCATTCAATTTCAGATTTTGTTGCGGTGTTGGACACTTTTGCTTTGACGCGCTAAATACCATATATTTTGTCTTGTCTACATTAATAGTAAGTTTGAGATGAGATTTGAACCTGCGAACCCACGCAGAGTAATCAGAGGTGCGGTGGCGGGGGTATTTCTAACGCTTAGCCCGATGAGTCACATCGCCGCGCCAACATCCAATGATTGATAAGACTCTACGTAGAATAAGATTCTCTGTTTATTTGTATGAATTCTCTGCTACTCTTACTCTTTTAAATGTACAGTACAAGAGATGGAAGCAGTTTCACTGAATTCACAACAAGATGCCATCTGAATCGTCATAGCTTGTGGAGGAAATTGGCCAACACGCCCAGTATTCATCTTAAAACAAATTAATATATATTATGAATATTAAATCATTAAAAATAAAACTAATATTCATTTCACCTGGCTTCGGATCTTCTTTTACAATCTACACTATTCTCCTAAAGGTGGGTTCAAACCACTCTGCATCTGAAAAATGGTGATATATCACCAGCGACCGGTCCTTAGTATCAAGCAACATGCGGCACTCGTACAACATAGCAACACGCTAGTCAGAGGGTTGTTTTTATTCGATGTTGTATTGAGAATGCTAATATATCTTGTTTCCCCTAAAATAAGACCTATCCCAAATTTTAAAAATGTTCCCAATATGGTCCCTCCACTTGAAATAGTCGACAGCGCGACCTAGTCCAGGGATGGCCAACCATTCAGAGACCAATAACCACAAATCTTACTTTATTACCGCGAAGAGCCACATTATAAACAACAACTATCATGAACATCAGTTTACCTTTATTCAGCTCTGCTAGAATGCTAAACCCTATAATGCCGGGATGACACTATTTTGTAATATAAATATGGCTATAATATGATTGGTCAGTAAGAGTTAACATTCCCTATGTATACGTCTTATCCTGGATGTAACTCAAAACAAATGCAATAAGACATTTTCGCGCCGTTTTCAAGCATGATATAGGCTTGTCCGAGTGTTTGTGTTTCCGGTTGCGCGTCACTCCTTTTTGGCATATTTTCAATTCTACGAATTTTATATCTGTAAGTATTTGAAAGCTAGGAAATATACAGAGGAATATGTTATTACTTGGAAGAAAGTAATTTGAGCGGCCAAGCCATCCTTTTCGGTCCGTAAACACGCTTGTAATCATCACCCGCACAATAATAAACAAACATAATTGCGCACGATAGCGAAAACATGCTCTCTTTGTTTCTTCAATATTTCGCGCTGCGTTTCATTCCAAATAGCCATTCTTATCTCGTTTTGAAGATGACGTAAATGTCTAATTCTGTGATATTTGATGTCGAGTCCAACTGGCTTGTGTATATAGCTACGGTTTGAAATACAAAACTTTTTTTCAATTTTTTTTTACATCTCTTGTTTAAACGCAACGGGGTCGATACATTCGTGCTGGTGTATCGAGAAACGGCTTGTATGAAGCGGCATAGATATTCTTTTAAAAGAAATATCAGTGAAGTCTTTCGCACGTTTGAAAAAAAAAGTTATGACATTTTTTTTGAAGGAGTGTAGGTTCTGTAGGGTTTTAATGTAAACGCCACGTACCAACATGATTATGACGGAAATTTTTTAGCCATTTATTGTAATGTTTGCTACTTTGTGGAGTTCTTTGGATTGAAAAATCTTCTTCAAATCTGGCTTGTATGTCGCTGTTGCTAATCGAAGCACA